GAAGAAGCACCTGGCTCCTGGCTTCGGATCCAGCTGTTGCAGTCATTTGGGAAGTAAACCAACGTATGGGAGACCTTTCTCTTTGTCTCTCCCTCTCACTGTAACTTTACCTTTCAAGTAAATAAAAATAAAATCTTTAAAAAAAAGAAAGAAAATGGAGCATCTGGGACTCAAGTTGGTAAGCACTGCAGGCAGCTATGCCACAGCCCCAGTCCTAACTGATGTCTGTTTTAGAAGATGTTGAGTCACAGATGCACACAGAGGAAAGATGAAATGAAGACAAAGGGGAAGATGGTTATTTATCAAGCAAGGAGACAGGTCGAAGAAGAAATCAACTCTGCCCACACCTTGATCTCAGGCATACAGTCTCCAGAATTGTAAAGAAATGAATTTCTATCATTCTAAACCATCCAGTCTGTGGTACTGTTTTGACAGTGATAGTAAACTAATACAACTTCTCACTAACACACTAAACCATCTGGAAAATCTATGCTATTAGTTACAACAGACATTTGGCAAAGAGAGAAAATGGTATTATGCAAGATTATGTTCTTGACTAGCAAAACTAGTGATAGGTCTTAGTGCCATTGTTGAATAGTAGGATTAATAATAGTTTTTATTATTTTATGGACTTGATGAATGTTTCCTAGTCTGAATTAATGAAATAGGCCAGGACAGGTGATTGGCACCTTTAAGATGTCACTTGAGGTACATGGATCCTATTGAATCCTAGCTCTGCTTCCAATTCCAGTTTTCTGCTGTAACATACACTTTGGGAAACAGCAATGATGTTTTAACTAGTTGGATCTCTGCTACTCACACCGTAGACTTGGATTGAGTTTCAGGCTCCCACCCTGCCTTCCCCACGCCTGCACTTGCAGCACACTGCCACAGTCTGCTGCAACCCGCCGCAAGCCAGCCGCAATGCAGCCGGCGCGCCTTCGCAGGCCTCCACGGCGCATGCGCGCCTTTCTTTGCGCCGCAACTCGAGTTTCAGGCTCTTGGTTTTGATCATACCTCTGTCCAGCTGTTGCAGGCATTTGGAAAATGAACAAAAAACTGGAAATTTTCTCCCCATCCGTGTGTATAAATATGTGTGGGTGTGAATATGTGTATTTGCTTTTAAATAAAAATAAATAAATTTTAAAAATGAAAACAATCGAGCCCAGGTGATCTAAGTTCAATATTTCAAAAGGCTGATGGAAATCTACCCCAAGATAACATTTCGAGAATGTAAATGAAACATGATGGGGATAGGAGTGGTTATTGGCTGCAAATTTAGGAGAAGGGTAAGCTAGATCCCTACCTCACAGGAGGCACAGAAAAATGAATTCCATGAAAATTTGAAAACTTAAAAAACAAAACTCCAATCATAGTAAATAACAAGGGAGTGAGGAGCACATTTATAATCTCTGAAAAGGGAAAATCTTTCTAAACAAGAAACAAATCCAAGAATCCACAAAAGATTAGTCTTCCTATGCCTATGCAAATATGTCATACTCTTCCATGGTGAAAGAGACCTTCCACTCAGAACAAAACCAAGGCCTTGGAAGAAAGTATTGAAGGATGTACAGCATGTAAAAACTAAAAGGTTGCTCTCCTTAATATACACAGCCCTGCTTCAACCCAGTAAGAAAAAATTACATGGTAAAATGGTCACAGCTCAGGAACAGGAAATTCATAGAAGTGCCAATAATTATCAAATGTGAACACATACACAAACTCATCAGCACTGGGATGTACAAGTCACAGAAACTAGGTTTAAAGGTTCTTTGCTTTTACCAGATGGGTGAAAACAAAACCAAACACCCAGTAGAGGATGTCAAGGATGGAGCATTTTCTCCTAGAAGAGAGTGGGTGTACACACTGCACACTTCAGCAGTGTATAGTGACATGGAAAAATGTGGATACTCCAGTCCACACCCACAAAGATGAAAGGACAAGGACATACATATTGAAATAGGGAAATAACCAGAAACCAAAAAACTGTCCATCAACAAGAAAACTGCTATTTAATTGATGGTATCTTTATGTTATATAGTAACATCTTAGTAAGAATATTCTGTATGTTACTGACATAGACTATTGAAACTGAAAAGCTACAAAAAATTTTGCTTGTATAGTACAATTTCACTTTTTAAAATCATATACATATTTATAAGAGCTGAATTGTCTCATTTAACCTGAGAAAGTCTGCATTGCAAGAGAACGCACTGTGTTAATTTGGTGGTTTATGAATCAGACATTGAAATAATTCAAATGACATTAAAAATCAACCTCTAGGGGACCAGCACTGTGGCGTAAAGGGCTAAGCTTCCACCTGTGGCGCTGGCATCCCATATGGGAGCCGGTTAGAGACCCAGCTGCTTCTCTTCTAATTCAGCTCTCTGCTTATGGTCTGAGAAAGCAGTAGAAGATGGACCAAGTTCTTGAGTCCCTGCACCCTCGTGGGACACCCAGAAGAAGCTCCAGGCTCCTGGCTTCAGATCAACCCAGCTCCAGATGTTACAGCCATTTGGAGAGTTAACCAGTGGATGGAAGACCTTTCTCTCTCTGTCTCTCTCTCTCAAATAAATAAATAAAATCTTAAAAAAAAAAAAAACACAAAGCTCTAACCCTGACTTTACAATCTTTTTAAAGTGAAAATTCAAAGTGCACTTCAATTCTAAGATGTAGTTCCTTTAGATTTCAATAACTTTGTCTCTGTTTTATTATATGGTAAATATAAAGTGAAATTTTTATTATTTTTCATAAAGTATCCAGATTAACTGTAAATATGTATTCATAAACATGAGGTTTTTGAGAACATAAAAACATTCATATGACTTTCTCATAATTGCATATCATATCTTTCTCATTTTCCTTTCAGCTGATATTTAAATGCAGGGCAAAACGGCAGCCCTTCCAGAAATTCTGAGCAGTAACTCCCCATGACAGCTTAGAACAAAACACTTGATATGTATGAACTTACAACTCAAGATTGCTAAGATTTCATTTTCTCCAAGTTTCTGATTTACTTTGTGCACTGTTGCACTTGTATTCAAAATGAATGGACAGACTGTTTCTATGTGGAGATAAAGAAAAGAGACATAGTTTTATCTCACTCCAGTGCTATCACACTACTATGGGTTTCTGAGAGTTTGATAGGATTCATGACATTAGGACTATCAAAGGGAGCATATTTTATCATAAGGAAATTAAAAGTGCAAAGGCAAAATGACATTTCAATCATTGTCTTTTAATAAAAAAAAGTCACCATTTCAGACGAGGCTGCAATAAACAGTGTTTGGACACTGCACACAAATTTGTTCTAAAATGTGTGTTAATTATCAACAGTGAATGTGCATGCATTCTGCTGTATCTGTAAACATTACAAGAGCATGTTTTTCTGTACTCAGGAAGAGTCTTAAATGTTTTCATGCCATGATGTTGATACATAAAAAAATGTAATTTTTTATAGAATGGTTCCTGTTTAAATGCTATTAAGAAGCCAAGAATGGGCCGCGGCTCTCTAGGCTAATCCTCCGCCTTGCATCACTGGCACCCCGGGTTCTAGTCCCGGTTGGGGCGCAGGATTCTGTCCCAGTTGCCCCTCTTCCAGGTCAGCTCTCTGCTGTGGCCAGGGAGTGCAGTGGAGGATGGCCCAAGTGCTTGGGCCCTGCACCCCATGGGAGACCAGGATAAGTACCTGGCTCCTGCCATCGGATCAGCGCGGTGCGCCGGCCACAGCGCACCAGCCACGGTGGCCATTGGAGGGTGAACCAACGCAAAGGAAGACTGTGGGGAGCAATCCGGACTGGACTAAGTTACTGAAATTAAGACTTATTCTATGCATCTGCTCTCCCACAACATGGCGTTGGGAGAGAAGTAAACAGCTTCCGCACAGCTGCCTCCAGTTCAACTAATAAACTGTAGGACTTGCTCCTGATTGGAGAGCAGCGTACTCGGCGTGTGGGCAGCCGAGTTGGGATTGGCGGAGGAGGACTATAAAGGAGGAGAGAGACGGCATGCACCAGGAACATCTATGGGGAACATCTAGCTGAAGGAACACCTGTGCAGCCCCCCAGAAAGCCGGCCGGCGGTGTGCCGCTCCCCTGCGGAAGTGGGGAATGTGGCCAGGGGGAACTGCCCTTCCACGGAGGTGGAAGGGATAGTAGCCAACCCGGGAAGAACCAGCAGCAAACCCGGGGAGGGCCGAGCAGACGAAAGAACAGCGCAGGGTCCTGTGTTGCTCCTCCACGAAGAGGGGGAGCGACAGAAGACCTTTTTCTCTGTCTCTCTCTCTCTTACTGTCCACTCTGCCTGTCAAAAAATAAAAAAATGAATAAAATAAAAAAAAGAAGCCAAGAATAAAAACATTTTTCACCAAATGTTGAAATCACTGTTGTCTACCAATTATTTGCTGTCCTCCTTCTGGTGTATCACAGTATTGCACTTACCTTTCCTCCCCCTAGACCCCTCATCTTGAAGTTGGTAAGGCTGTAGGAGTTGATTTGGTTGTAGAAGTGTGAGCAATTGAGTACTATCTCCAGGTGGAAGTTCTAACAGCTTGCGCATGATTTGCTGTGCTGTTTTTTTCCCACTAATACATAATAGTGCCTGTTTTGTCGCCTAAGCAATCACGATGAGCAAAACTCCTCTTCTGAGTGGGCAGGAGCCATAGGTAAGATAAAAATCTTTATGAGCCTTATCTCTCAGAGGTTTGGGAGTCTGTTACTATCACAGACAAACCTAAGCTAGCCTGACCGATACACCTAGACCACGGGGTTTTGGAAATTATCAAATTCCTAGCTGAATTATGACTTACATGGGTAAAGTGAGGCACACAGGTGAAACATAGAAAGCCAATGTCACAGAAGAGTGGACACGGAAGGGACAGAAAAGGGTAACACTGGAAAGCAAGTTGAAATTCTTCCCACCCAATTGCAGACAAAAATGGAGTTCAGATTCAAGACTTCCAAATTTTAGATGACTTTCCTAAAAAATAATCACTCTTGATATATGTTGGTCCAAGTTTATTATAAAATCATTTGTTTGAAGTTTTAAGCTAGTCAAAACACTAAAGTTACATGAGCTGCATACTTATGCAAGCAACAAAATATACATATCACTATTTAACCTCTTATACAATCCAAGCATGAAGAGCACAAAATACATTTATTCACATAACAAAGGCAAACACATGTCACCTACCATGAACATGTACCAGAACAAGTCAAAGTCCAATATTATGTACCCAGTGGTAAAGTCTCCTAATGCACAGATGAAGTAAGAAAATGTACATTCTCATACTTTATATTCTCACCCTAGACAGTTGATTTAGAGCAATGATGGTGCACAGGCAAAGCAAATAACAATTTTCACAAAAAGTTCACTCACTATTTAAGGAATGCTCATATTAGAGGTCTAAACTCAATTTAGGCACAACAATAAGTCTGAAACTGAACAAACATGACCACTTGTTATATAACACAGATAAAGTTTCATATGTGTATATATTAACATTTAGGTACTTTCCACTTCAGCTATATAGATAATTAGAAGCAACTTTTCTATCTTTAGAAAATAATTAAAAATGCCATATTTCTACCACTTAATGAAATCCATCAATAAAGGATCTGATGTTTTTGGATGTACCTACAGCGCATTATGAGTCACCCTTTTCTGTTTCTGTATTTATAATCATGAAGACCTTCACATTGGGAGTTGGGGGAGTGGGTAGTCAGATTTTTTTGTGAAATTCGCTAATAGTGAAAAAAACCCTGACATGTTTAGAATTTGTCCAGAATAATGTAATTTTCCAGAAATCACATGCCCCAAGAGTGTGTGAAATTGTGTGGATTCCACCTTACTAATGGAAAGAGGAATTCATTAGACTCTGAAGATCTAATTATGAATTTTAAAACAGAACTTTAAACATTCAAATTACTAACCTTGTTGAAACCATCTGTATTATTTCCAAGAATCTGAATAAGCATACTTTCACTTTGAACATTCATATGAAAATTATTGGTGGGTACTCCACTTCATGGTTCATTAAACACTAAAGTGCTAAATTATGTGCAAAAAAATAAAATTCTGAAGTCAGTTATGCACATTGGTGCATTCACTTCAAATTTGTGTTCCTTGAATGAAAAGCCTACATCAACGTAAATGCACATTATTTTACTAATTTTTTCAACTTTGATGTCTACTTCTTAGGTTTACCACCATCTGAAGACCAATTGGTTGCCTTAGACACTTGCTCAGATAATATAAACAGCTCTTTCAGGAAATGCATGGAAATGCATGGAAATGCACTCTCCCATCATTCCCCAATGCCTGACATGCTCATGCATTTCCATATGGTCATGACACAAGATCTCAGCGCAGATGCTCATAGAAAGGGAGGCATCACAGCAGTAGAGCATAACTCCCATCAGATTAGAAGTCTCAAGGAGAAGAGATCTAGAGTTTCTCCGCTGTGCTTCTCCCCAGTCAAGATACATGATAATGTTCACTGTGGCTTTGTACACAGCATCGCCACAACAGCTGGAGATTTTGGTTCCTGTAGGAAATAAATACCTCCTTAGAAAATAAATGAACCATCTAAAATTCTTCAGGATTTTAAGTGCTCTTTGAACACATGAGAACATTTTTGTAATATAACAGCAATCACAAATTGCAATGACTTTTTTAAAACATGCACACATATAAGTATATACACACATACACACATATACATACATACATATATATAGCACAATAAGTAATATATAACTGTCAGTTTAAATTAAAAACAGACACAAACTTTGCAATTCCATATTCATTTTGCATAAAGAAATTCTTGTTTGTAATTCAATTTGGCAAGTATTTATCAGGCATCTACTATGTGCTCTATCCATGAGCACATGAGAATAACATAAAATTACATGATTAGTCATTTGCAGCTCTTAAATTAAGAAAATCACATGCCAATATGTGTTTGTGTTTGTTTTTTAAGTCACCTGAAATTGATTACTTTTTTTTTTTTTTTTGGACAGGCAGAGTTAGACAGTGAGAGACAGAGAGACAGAGAGAAAGGTCTTCCTTCCATTGGTTCACTCCCCAAATGGCCGCCACGGCCGGCGCACTGTGCCAATCTGAAGCCAGGAGCCAGGTGCTTCCTCTCGGTCTCCCATGTGGGTGCAGGGACCCAAGCACTTGGGCCATCCTCCACTGCCTTCCCGGGCCATAGCAGAGAGCTGGACTGGAAGAGGAGCAACCAGGACAGAATCCGGAGCCCCAACCGGGACTAGAACCCAGGGTGCCAGTGCCGCAGGCAGAGGATTAGCCTAGTGAGCTGTGGCACCAGCCATGATTACTTTTTAATATTCAGTGAAGCTGTCTGCTTAATTTCTTTTAATTCACTCCCAAGCATTTACCAAAACCCACAAATGTTGGTGACTTCCAATGTAAACTACCAATCCAATTAAGACAATGAAAGCAAAAGAATTCTCTTACAATTAATTTTTACAGTTGAGCAGACCACCTATCTTATTCTCCAATGGACCTACAACATTTTGAAAGAAGTCTGAAATTATTTTTATTGAATTATACAACAAAGAAAAAGTTTGAATTCTAAATGGGAAATTTGGGTAGAGATTATCCCTTAATTTCCCAGTTAAACTTTATAATGGTTCCCGAATGCATTGCTAATTTTCAGTCTTCTCCCTTGATGCTAGTAGCTAAGGAAAATGCTGTCTCACAGATTTAATAAACTGATCAACAGAATTGTCTGACGTCCATCTGCATGAGTGAGTGTGTGGGAGGGTGGAGGTGGGGGTGTAAAGCAAACAGTATTTGAATATTACATACTTGATTGTGTTTCTTTCATTCTCGGCCACTTTGATGACCGCTCAAGATAAAGCACCTTCAATGTTCTTTGCACCTATCATTGGGGCAGGGATCCTACTTGTTTTCATTATCCCTAGTGGAGCTTGGGAACTGCTATAACCCAAGTTGCATGGATATATGCAAATATATAGCCTTTGCTTATCCACAAATTAGTGTGCATCACTCATTTTCACAGGAAGGAGGAATTACTGGAAAACTACAAATCCATTTTTTCCACCAAAAAAAAATTCCCCTTCAAAAAATCCTTGTCCTTCATCATAATAAATGCAAGCAATCGTGTTTGTAAATATGGCAAGAATGAGCCCATTCTAAACAGGCTTACAAGATCAGGCTCAAGCAGACCTGGCAAATGTGGTAGTCACTATATAAACCACAGTAAACTCCAGGTGTCATGACCATGAATATATTGACTGAGGCTACATAATGAGGAATAAAACAGATCACATCAAATAATGAGGGTGCCCTATCTCCTTAAGCCTAGTCTCTAAGTAATAGCTGCAGAACACTTTTCACAAAATAGCCATTTCACTGTGCATGTAGCATTAAGATATTCTCTAGCCAAAAGGCCAGGTAAATACATTAGGCTTTAACATAAGAGATTCACTCATTTCAAAAGCACAAATAACACAGATAAGCTCAAAACTGGTACCTGTTTGACTCCCACAGCCTTATTTTATTGTGTCTATCTCCAGTTGACAAGAACAAGTGAAATGTGCAATTATACAGTTAATCGAACAAAATCCAAGAACTGAACTGACAGAAATACTTCCAAACTGTATACCAAGGCCTGAATTTTCCAGTTAGGCTATATATATATATATGTATATATATATTTACTAATTAACTGATATCTTGCCAAAATCTTCCCTAATGTTGCTCTAGCCCTACACTGTATTACTGTCCTGTTAAGCTCGGTGCTTCCTGATTTATTTTCTCTGGAACTGGTGACTCAGAAATGGCAGCAACCTTTAAGGAGTTTTTAATGGAGCTAAGCTCCCAAATGTGTAGGCTGATGACATGTGCTCCACAGCAGCGCCTGGCAAGCTTGTAGAGATTCTTCAGGACAGCCTTCCGCAGAAGAATATACACCCAAGGATCTAATATTTGATTCCATGTTGCCATACGAAGAGCAAAAAGCGTTGTTTCACAGGTTTCCATAGAATCATTTCCATTTATTCCAATGTTGGCCATCGTTACCTAGAAAACAGACAAAACAAGGAAATCAACTGGAGTAGACTTTTTTTTCAGTCCTATAGTTTTTTCTTTTAACTCAATTAGCTTTGTTGCATGATACTCATTCCACCTTATGCAAAGTAGTGTTATTTTGCTAAATACTGGCAGAAACACTTACATGACATCAAATCGAGATCAGAGCTACAAAAATGATAACATGCATAGCACAAATAGAGTGACCCAAAGGAGAACAAACATTGATATCAGTAATTTGCATCTCATACTTCAGGATTGTTAAGTTCAAAAGAAGCACATATTTGTGTACTTCAGTGAAAACTAAAGCATAATGAAATAAACAAATCATAGATGTTAATAGGGTTTTTTGATGAATTTAAAGAATCTGGTATTAATTTGTAAATGATGTGTAACATTGCTCAGGAACGTTCATTTTAGAATTTTCTGCTTGGTAACTATAATGATACCAATATCTTTTATATGCCCTTTTCTGCATCTCTCACTCTAGCCTTAACTTGGCAAAAAAATTCCATAAAGTCCCTCTCTAGACAATATTGTGACTTCATAATAACAATGTATATTTTGGTAACACATAACCATTTAAAGACTACTCATGATTTTGGAGATCATTTTGGGGAATTAGTTCCATAAGTGGTCCCAGCCACATGTTAAAAAAATCACTGAGTCGAACTCTGACTTCCAAATAAAGACTTACAGTGCAGACAAATAAGGGGATTTGAAAATATCTTGAATGTAAAAATAAGTAAAAGGAGTGAGCCTTTAGCCTAGCAGTTAAGAAAGACATAGCATCCCGTTTCAGAGTGCCTGGCTTCAAACCCACTCCTGCCTCTTAATTCCAGCTTCTTGCTAATGCAGGTGCTAGGAGGCAGCAGTGAAGGCTTGGTCAAGTAATTGGGTTCTTGCTACTCACTTTGGAAATCTCACTCCTGAGAGCTTTGACTTGACCCAGCCCCAGCTGTTGCATACATTTGAGGAAATGAGCAATAGGCAGAAGATTCTCTCTCTCTCTCTCTCACTCTCTTTCTTTCTCTCTCTCTCTCTGAGCTTTGTCTTGTGTGAATCTGTTTTGAAAAACTATTCCCTTTTCTCTACTCGATAGCCTCCTATCTATCCTTCAAACACCATGTGAAAATAAGCTCACCTCTGCGAAACTACCCATCTTTAAGATAAATTAGCAGTTGTTCCCTCTTCTGCTCCCATAGCACTCTATCCATACCCAGTTATATACCACCCACAACAATGCATAAAAATTATTTCTCTGTATATGTATGAGCATATTTTTTATTTTTACTTTCTATTTATAAAGTTTTTCTTATTCATTTGAGAGGCAGAGTTATAGACAGAGAGAGGGAGAGAAAGTGAGAGTGGTCTTCGATCCTCTGGTTCACTTCTGAAATGGCCTCAATGGATGGAGCTGGGACAATCGGAAGCCAGGAGCCAGGAGCTTCTTCCAGATCTCCCACATAAATGCAGGGGCCCAAGCACTTGGGCCATCTTCCACTGCACTCCCGGGCCACAGCAGAGAGCTGGACAGGAAGAGGAGCAACCGGGAAAGAATCTGGCGCTCCAACCGGGACGAGAACCCGGGGTGCCCGCGCCGCAGGCGGAGGATTAGCCTATTGAGCCACGGTGCCGGCCCAGTATTATAGTTTCAACAAAGCTAGTATATAAACATGGATATTTTTGAAGGCACAAAATACCAAAGTTAAAGAGAATGTGAATATTAACCAGAGCCCTTCCCAGTGGACAAGAAAATTTCCAAATATCTAGCTCTGAGTGACTCCCGTAATGGTATCTTCTGCTTCCTGCCACAAATGAGGAACCACTTAAATTCTTTGGAATGTTTCTCGGTATGACATTCATCTACACTAGTAAAGAAAATAATTCAGATAGATTTAAAAACTAGATTTTTAGGGGCTGGCTTTGTGGCACAGTGGGTTAAGCCACTGCCTGCAACTCCACCATCCCATATCAGAGTGCTGGTTCCAGGCCCAGCAACTCTGCTTCAGATCCACTTCCCTGCTAATGCCTACCCTGGGAAAGCAGAGAAAGAGTAAGTACTTAAACCCTGCCATCCATGTTGGAGTTCCAGGCTGCTGGTTTCGGACTGGCCCAGCCCCAGCCATTGGAGCCAATTGGGGAGTGAACCAGTGGTTGGCAGAGCTCTCTAGTTGTCACTCTGCTTTTCAAATAAGTAAATAAATCTTCTTAAAAAAATATGGCTTTGGAAAAACTGGATTTGCAAACTTTCAATTTCATGTTTGTATGCCACAGTTGGATAATTCAGAATAAAGTTATTTAACATTCCCAAGATATAAGTAAATTCCAATCTCACTGGATAGACTTGACCATCTGACATTCTCTCTTATCTTGCCTGCCAAAACATTATTAACTCTTTTGATCTTTTGCTTGAGAAATTGTTTCTTTCCATTTTGGTTTGGTCTTGGTGTTTTTTTTTTTCTAACATAACTTCCTATAATATTAACATTCAATAGTAAGATTATGATGTGGTGAATGCACAAAGCATTTTACAAAATTACAAGACACATCTAACCATCTATTGCAGAAATCTGCATTTTGACGCTTTCAGTGTTTCTAAAACTTTTAACATAATGATATGTACTAGTGAAAGATTCTAGTCTTTTGTAGCATCTACAGATCCCTTGGGAAAGGGATTCTTTTTTTAAGATTTTATTTATTTATTTATTTGAGAGTTAGATTTACAGATAGTGAGAGGGAGAGACAAAGAAAAAGGTTTTCCATCTGTTGGTTCACTTCCCAAATCGCCACAGCGGCTGGAGTTGGGCTGATCTGAAGCCAGGAGCTTCTTTCAAGTCTCCCATATGGGCGCAGGGGCTCAAGAACTTGGACCATCTACCAGTGCTTTCCCAGGCCATAGCAGAGAGCTGAATCAGAAAAGGAGCAGCCGGGACCAGAACCGGCATGAATGGGATTTTTTAAGGGTTCCCTTAAACTTCATTCTCTGGGGAAATAATACATTTAATTGCAGACTTAAACATTGTTGACTAAATAAAATGAAATAAAAATATCCTTCCCTACACAATAGCACTTGGATCAGATACAGACTGTTGCATTACTGCCTCCCAAATTATGCAACATGATTGAAATAACATGCATCTATGGATTCAGTTCTTTATGGAAATAAGCAGGGCTAGGAAATACTTGGCTGTTAGGTTAAGATATTTTAACTTTTATTTTTTTCTTTTAACTTAGCAAATACTGTTATGTATCAGGCAATGTGCTAGGCATTGAGGATCCAACAGTGAACAAAGCAGACAATATGCCTGCCTCGTGTAATTTACAGTCTGTTGGCTATAGTTTTTTCATTCAAGTACAGTTGAATAAGCAGCTCTCTGGCTTCACAAATACTAAATGTATGTATTTCCTATTAGTGACCAGGTATGTTTGGTGGATTCCAAAGCCAGCCAAGACACTGCACTACATAGACAGAAACAAACACAGTTGGAAAAATGGCACCAAACAGCGGGCCTTCAGAGATGTGCAAACATAAAGGGCCTGGCTTGGAGAAGCTGTGGTGGTGCAGCAGTTAGGTCCCCTCGGGATGCCACCATCTCATATTTGAGTGCCTGGTTAGAGTTCCAGCTCCTCTGCTTCTGATCCAGCATCCCGCTTATGCACATGCTGGGAAGCAGCAGATGACGGCCCAAGGACTTGGTTTCCTACCACTCATGTAGGAGACCCAGACAGAGTTCCTTGCTGCTGGCTACAGCCTGGTTCAGCCCCAGCTGGTGTGGGCATTTGGGGAGTGATCCAGCAGATGGAAGAGTTCTCTCCTGTTCTCTCTCTCCCTCCCTTCCTCTCTCCCTTTCAAATAAAATAAAAAATACATACATAAATTTCAAAAATAGATAAATACAGTGTTTGACTTTAATGCTATGCACATCTCTGATTCTCCTGTCTCCCCAGTAAACAGTATTGTGGTCACCTGCTATGAACAGACGTTGAGTCTTCCACTTAGAAGCCTATAACCATGGCTTCTCTCCAGAACAGCAGACAAGTGCCTAGGCACTCATAATCACTCTCCCTCCTTCTTTGAACCACTAATCCAGTTTAAGAAAGGTTGCAGCAGGACCTGGCTTGGAAGAAACACTAACCATTTAGCAAGCGATAAAGACTTAGGTGGAACAGTTCTGTAAAAGAAATACCATTAGTATATGATCGATAATTGGAAAATTTATAGGCGTATATTATTGATAATGCAGGGCAATCTAAGTAACTAACAGAAATTAAATTATGGTCATTTGACATAATGGAAAATACACAGGTGTTCATGTTTGTGACTCAGCGTTAGCTTTTTAAAAAGCATGTTGCTTAGGATGGTGCTATGTCTTAGCACATAAAGCTGTCTCCTGCAGTGCCAGTATCCCAGATGGGTGCTGGTTTGAGTCCTGGTTGCTCCACATCCGATCCAACTCTCTGCTATGGCCTGGGAAAGCAGTAGAAGATGGCCCAAATGTGGGAGACCTGGAAGAAGCTCCAGGATCCTGGCTTTGGATCGGCCCAGCTCCGGCCATTGCAACCATTTGGGGAGTGAACCAGTGAATGGAAGACCTCTCTCTCTCTCTCTTTCTTCCTCTCTCTCTCTCTCTCTCTCTCTCTCTCTTCCTCTCTCTCTCTGCCTCTGCCTCACTGTAACTCTGCTTTTCAATAAATAAATCTTTTTTAAAAAGCAAGTTACTCAACTGCATTGATTGTGTATTGTGTAGTTGCAACTTTAAAAAAGAGGAAGAACTCTAGTTCTTTACTAAAGAATCAGAAGTGTGTGGATTATTTATACATGTGTATGTGTATGTGAGTGGGCAGCACTGAAGATGCCACAGAATTGGCTGGAAAACCTAGACTCTGATAAAACTGGCAGAAGATGTGTGGAAGCTGAGGTCAGAATGAGGAATGTCTGGGCTGATGAACCCAGTCTGAAGCCATTTTCCCTAGGTTCTGGTGACAGT